CCCGTGTAAGCGATGACCCCTCCCTTCCAGCCACTCCTTCCTACTCACCTCCTCCCCGTGCCTCCTCTGCCGCTCATTCCCAACCCTCCATCCTCCACCTCACCTCTTCCACCTGCTCCACTTCCTCCCGGGCACCTGTCTGTGTCGGAGGCTTCATCGCCAGGGGAAATACTTTACAGGGCGGAAAACGGTTGACCGAGAGCACGGAACTGAACTCGTGAGCGGAGCTCGAGACTGAATTGCCATGGATACGCGAGCGCCATGTGACTTCGTGCATCCGCTCCGCTCCTGCCTGCACACACGTCCACATGCGCGTGCTCTCGTTGCGCCGGTGTTGCAGTCTGCGCGGGCGCTCCTGGCAGGGCAGCTCGACCTCGCCTCGTGGCGCAACACGGCGGCCGCAGTCCACGCCAATGCTGCGAGGGCAGTGGGGCCGGTAGCCGCCGCCTTGCGCGGCCTCCGCCGGCTCGGGCTGGGCGACGACCTGGAGCGCTGGGTCGGCGTGCCTGCGGCGCCGAGTGCCGCAAGGTGGCTGTGCGTCGGCCGTGCATCGCCCACTTGGCCCACGGGGTGGACAGATGGGCCACGCGACGCCTGCTCGCCGCCGAAGCGCTTGTGCCCGAAGCTGCCACGGCACTGCGCAGCGTCATGTGCGACAGCCACGTCACCGAGGAAATTGCGGCGAAGTGGACGGGCCACGACGGCATGTGCCCGCACTGTGAGCTGGCTCCTGAAGACCACGAACATCGCCATTGGCTGTGCCCAGCGTGGGAGGGCAAGGGGCGCCGCCCTTGCTGCAGCGCCACGGTCGGAGACGCTGCCAAGCGACGCTGGGGCCCTGAGGCAGCTGCTGCCAGCCAGCTGGCGTCGCGCTGACAGGGGTGTTAGCGATGCCGCCGCTCCTCGCTGCCCTCGCGGAGGCTGCTGCAAGCGCAGACCCGCAGCTCCCGCCACAGGCCGAGCAGCAGCCCGACGCTCCCCGCCGCACGGTGTGGAGTGATGGAGCATGCCTCCACCCCGCCGACCCACTGCTTGCGCGAGCCGCATGGGGCATGCGTGTCCAAGGTCTCGCAGCCCCCAACCTCGCCAGCCCTGTGGCCGGGCCGCAGACCGCGCAGCGGGCCGAGGTCACTGCCGCAGTGGCGGCGGCTCCGGTTGTCAGCGGCCCAATCGACCTCGCCTCGGACAGCCAGTACATCGTGCGGGCGTGCGCGCAGCTGGCGGCTGGAGCCGACACGCGGGACTGGAACACGCCGACGTGTGGCAGTTGCTCGCAGGTGCCGTGCGGAGCGGGCGGCTAATTATGGGCACGCTGGGTGCCAGCGCCCCGGCGGAGGCGCGGCGCCGTGGGGTCAGCGAGCGGAATCGCCTCGGCAACGCCGCGGCCGACGGCAACGCTGGCGCTGCGGCTGCGCAGCGGGTTCCGCCGCGCGAGGTCGTGCTCGCCCGCCGGAGGGAGCTCGAAGTGCTGGAGGCGGCGCAGCGGATGCAGGCCGCGGCCCAGGCAGCGGCCCTCGCTGCTGCGCTGGTCGGCCAGCGACGCGGCCGGCGCATCTGGAGCGCGGTTCGCCGCGTGGCTCGGGCTCGACATGCGCCCGCCCCAGCCAGCCCCGTCCCCGCTGGCCGCGCGACGCCGCCAGCTGCTCGGCCGCGCTGGCACGACGGCGCCGAGCCCGTCAGCGCTGGGGCAATGCTCGCCGCCTTCTTCGCGGGGCGCTCGTGGTGGCCCCACTCCCTCGCGCAGGGGCCTGGCCGGGTGTGCTGTCTTCGCTGCGGCGGCAGCGCCGAGACCGCAGCGGCCACGATGGGCGGCGCGTGCCCTGGGTGGCAGGACAGCTTGCCGGCGCGCGGGCAAGCCCTGCTCCGCTTCGGGAACCTGCGCTGCAGAATTCGCCTCCTTGGCTGTGCGCCGCATCGCGCAGCTGCCTAATGTGCCCGACTAAGCCCCTTGCCGGGGCGCTGGCGGCCGCGCCGTTTCGCCCTGTGTCCGCGAGTCCAAAAACAAACTTATCGTGTTTCCCATTCTGCGGATCGCTCTGCGGAAACCCACACGGGCATGGCCGGAAGCCATGCCTGCGCCCGGGCACATGCCCGAGCCGATGCAGGCACCGACAACCCACCCATGCCAGAGTACCCTGCTCCGCACACGCGGCAGCACTATGTGCTGAAGCTGATTTCGCCTCTGGACGATCACTGAGCGCACACCTCTCGCACAGGAGCTTTCACGGTTCATCGGCGAACCCGAGCATCCCGTGGTTGAAAATTCAAAGAGCCCACCCGCGGTACGTCCGCCACCTTCAGGACGCGACGCTCGTGGGCCCCTCCTTCCCCCCCCTGGCATGCAGGAGAGCAAGGCAGGGGGATCCCCTCCTGTCGCGGTCCCCGCCCGAGCCTCCGCGGGAGCGCGTCTCGTCGTCTGGCATTGGGCGCGTGCTGGGCCCGAGGTGCGCTGGGGCGGAGGCCAGCAAAGATCGCCGTGCAACCCCCGGAAGCCCCGCGA